ATACTGGGTCCCAATTAACAAAATGAAATTTAGTGTAGAGAAAAATAAAGTCTTACACTTAGGCAAGATAAACCAAAAGTACACATAGATTTGGGGAAACCAGGCTTAAGAACATTAACTGTGAGAGGGATCTTGGAGTCTTAGTGGACAACCAAGTAAATATTGTTATATTTAATATTGTTTTATAAATATATAAATATATTTAATATTTATATTAAATAATGTTAATATTGGTTAAATATGAGCCAACAGTGTGCAGTGGCAGCCAAAAAAGCCAATGCAATCCTAAGTGGCATTAACTAAGGGATTCAGTCAAGATCACATGAGGTACTAATACCACTCTAAAGCCTTAGTAAGACCATACCTAGAATACTGAATCATGGTTTGGTCACCACACTATAAAAAGAAGTTAAGACTTTAGAAAGAGTGCAGAGAAGAACAACGAAGATGATTAGGGAACTGGAAGAATGGTTACAGGAACTGGGCATGGATAGTGGAGAGAAGGACCAGAGGAGACATGATAGCAGTGTTCCAATGCTTGAGGGGCTGTCACAGAGAGGAGGGTGGTCATCCTGTTTTCCAAAGCACCTGAAGGCCAGACAAAGAATAATGGATAGAAGAGAAATTTCTTCTTAGAAATAAGAAGAAATTTTCTGACATTGAGAACAATCAACCAGTTTCCCTTCAGAAGTTGTGGGAGCTTCATCACTGGAAACTTTCAAGAAGACATTGGACTGCAATATATCAGAAATGGTGTAGGATCTCCTGCTTGGATGGGGTTTAGTAGTATATACTACATATCAAAATTTAGAGGCCTTTTAGCCCCACCCCTTTGTTTTGTTTTTGTTGTAATCCTGCCGCTTTTGTGATGTTTTGTTTACAGTGTAGCCTCTCCACTTTTATAACATCAAACCCCCCCTCATCTCCCACTCTCCCCATGCCTCCCACCCTCATCCCCCCCTTACCTTGAAGGTCTATAATGTCATATCCACTATGCCTCCCTGAACTCAAACCCTTTTTACAGGAAGTACTTTAACATCATTGTGAGCCAAATCTCTGTGACTCATAATCCTTCTCACCCGGTAATGCAGGTTCAAAAACACACACCTAGCCACTGTGACACACGTGGCCTTTCACACGGGTATGCTGTAACAACTGACACGCCAGACCTACCTTACCCACACTCACTTTCAACTTGAATAATTGTGACATTTTCACCAGAAAACCTCATAGGTTCATATTTGTAGAGCACGAGTTTGACAGCAGCAGCCAATGATGTTGTTGCTCTGGTTCACAGCCGCCTCCCATTGACTGAAAGAAAATGATTGACGGGCCAAGCACATGTATTCTCCTAAACCTTCCAGAATGCCTTCCCAATGCCAGAAGCAAAATGAATGACGAAGCATTTTCTGACAGGGGTAGCTGTCAGTATGAGAATGACAATTTCTCAAAACTGTCAGCTTTTTACACAGAGCAGGAAGTTAAAAAGCAATATCAATTCAAAATAAGAAAACAATGTGAAAAAATAAAAAAACTATAGTGTCCCAAAACTATCAGCTTTTTTAAACAGAGCAGGAAGTAAAAAGCAATATCAAAGCAAAGTAAGAAACCCTGGCCTCTGTTTGCAGTTGTAAGGCAAGGAATTTGAGCAAGGCTTCGACTTTGGCCGGTGTTTATTTTACTTTACAGAGATGTAAAAAATAAAATACTAAATTTGCAAAGAAAACCACCATTTTTTGTACGTGAGTTATTTATTTTTCTGAAAAAGGAGGGTAAAGTGTAGCTCTAAAAGGCAGGAAAAATAAAATTAAGAGAAAAAATAATATTAAAAATGTGAAATTTTTCAAATGAGTGCTTAGGATAATAGTTCACAGGGACAAGTTGAGACATGCCCCAGAAAGGGTGGGCATGTGGACATGTGTGCGATGCTCATGACAACAAGTGTAATGGGGTTTAGAGTCTGTTTTGTCCTGTCCCACGCGTGTCCTGTGGGTCACAGCATGATAAAAGAGGCCCTCTGCAGAAGAGTGGCGATTTAACCGCTTAAGGTGTAGATCTCTTTTAATAACAACATGCAACCTGACAAAAGGAAATAATAAAAGGGTTGTAGACCCTTCTACACCATGGGCCGATGGAATGCCACTTTTGAAAGATTGCCATAAAATATGTTGTGCTATGTTTGTCGATGAGTTAAGACTACTTCAGACCTATTTTGTTCGGATGTCATCTGTCCTACTGTAACGTGAAGGACTATAAAGATGATATAGACCTCAATGTATGTTGCCGCAAGGGATGGGTAATGGCTAAGAGAAACGATTTATCGCAGGACCATGCAAGACCGTTTATATATTCAAAGGGGTGGTGGTGATAAATTGGGATAATCCTGTTATCACCGTGATAGGTAATGAATTAATATATTTTTCCAGGCACTGTTCCAGGATGTAACCATAACAAGTTGTCCTCCTTAATAACAAACATATCAACTAATGATGAATCTGCAGAGGTAGACTTAGGTAAATGAAACTAAATTGACTTTTTACATTTAAAATATATTATATTATATTATATTATATTATATTATATTATAGATAGATAGATAGATAGATAGATAGATAGATAGATATAGATATATAGATATAATAAAGGGGGGAGAGTTTCATTTACCTAAGTCTACCTCTGCAGATTCATCATTAGTTGATATGTTTGTTATTAAGGAGGACAAC